AAGGCTTTTTTTGATAGGTATGTGAGCTCCCCAGTATGCCAAAAGCTCGAGTCACTGTTTTCTTTTTAACAAAGCACGATGAAAGTCTTTGGTGAAATCTTAAAAACTTAAGTTTGTACTTCCAGTTGTTCTATTTATGGAAATGTCAATTTACATGTTGAATTTTCCATTTAGAAATATCATTAATGGCTTTTATCCATTATGCCTATGGTTATAAGCATAAGCAGTTTTTCTTGAAACAATTCTCCCTCCTAAAAACCATTTAACGATTATTTTATTATACATAAACCTCACAACAACTCCAAGATGTAGGTATTATAATTATTATGGCTGCTAAATTAGGCCTAGATATGTTAAAGAATATCCTTCTACTAACAACAGGGTCAGATAGGACAAATTCTAAATTGTTGCCACTATACTGTGGTCTCTGGCAAAGCTATTTTTGTTGGCATCGTAATATGTACCACATTCATTGCTTTAGTGTGTATATATTAATGTGTAATTAATCTGTTCCTAAATTATATGTAATCAATTTAGAGTTCTTGTTTTAGCAAATTAATTCCTTTAGCAAATTAATCCCAGCCAAAAATATGTGGCTGGAAATATTAATGTTTCAAAATACTTTATAATAACTAAATAATTCATTTTTAATGTTTTAAAATATATAGAATTTCTTTGACTTTTTCATCTTCTTAAGGTCATCTACTCAGAGATATAAAAGCCTGAAGCATAAAGACAAAATAGGCTTATTTTTTAAGAACCAAATTTGTTTTTCATATGATAAAGACTTTGATTTGTTTTCCTGTTTCCTAAAACGCTTACATAGTTGTGCCTGGACACAAATGTACTTGTTTATGATATGATATTCTAGCGTTTTTTTTGGCAAATGTAGTTTCTTTTATTTTCTTTAGATTGTTTGTTTATTAATGGAAGCCAATATACCACTAAAATGTCTATAAGACTAATTAAGGTACAAATCTGAGACCACTATTGCCCAGACATGAGTAGAAAACACATATATTTAAATTACAAAAAAAGTGCTCATACTACTTCAGTCTGTACAATTCTGATATGACTAGTGATGGAACAGACTCTCTGAGAGCCATAATTGTATTCCTATTATATCATTTGGATGCTCTTAGCTGCTTTTGTATCAGTGAGCCACATCATGGCCATAGAACAGACTGTTTCTTGCCAAAAGCAGAAACATTATAGTAGTTCTCTGTAAAAAGAGAGGCAAAGTACTGCTATGTTCATACTGTTACATTATCATTATTTTTATAAGTTGCTTCCTTTTTCAAAGTTAAACATCCATCAGAGTAATTATTATATCTGAAGCAACAGAAATAACTATATAATTTACTTTGATTAGGGTGGTAATGTAACAACTGATTCAAGGGAACAATATAAAAGTCCAATTCTACTCTTGTAATACTCTAAGTATCCATATTTTTCCGTTAGACTGTCTAGATGGGCAAATTAATTGACCACTTTAATGTGTAACTTATTTATGTCAATAGAAATTTAATTTATAATTTATTTAGATGACAAGATTTCCTGATTGTATATACAGATAATCAACCCCTACCTTAGTTCATTTACATGGCCATTGAATAAATGAGTGAATTAAGGACATCTCAAGCTGTCTGTAAGTAAAGTCAAACCAGTGAAGCAGTGAGGCCAAAGTGAGAGGCCACAGATGCTCTTTTGAATATTACACATAATAAGACAGAAAATCTTTTCTTATTAAAATTATGGATTTTTTTAAAAAGGTATAATTTGAAGATTGGTGATTTAGGGGTCAAAGCACTAGTTGCTTACTGGTGCTGCCATGTAATGCTTATGTGACTTGTTGCCATTGTTTTTAACCACACTAGGTTCCAATTTTTCATAGAGACTATCACAACTTTCATTGACTCATAACTTTGTGGTAACTATCAAAATACACAAGATACAGTACAAAACAAAAAACAAAAAAATATATATAAATTGTAGGGAGCCTTGGTAATACATTTTTCTTATTCATATAAAGTGAAAATTGCCTAGAGTTTGCCTTATTTAGATGGAATCCATACCCCCAGTAGCCTGTTCCTTTTTAAACCTTTGGAATTTTCCATGTCTATCCCAAGAATAGCAAGTGGTAAATTTCCTTGATGAGTTTATAGATCATGGAGATAAACAAGGAAAGTGTGCACCTGTCATTAGATCAGATGACTAAACTGTAGCCATCAATGCACCCAAACCAACATCAATGGTCTTATATGTATGTGTGCATATGTATGTGCATGTACTCATATGTGTTTGTGTGCATATTTGCTGTGTGGTTTTTTTTTTGTCTTTATAGTAAATGCTTATTATCTCTTCAACAAAATATGCACATTTTCAACTCCTGAATTATCCACTGCATATAGGAACTAAGTCAATACTCTATGTCTCAGAGACAACCCCTCACACAAAGAAAATAGATTTATATTTCCCCAAAAAACAGCAGAGCAGAAATACATTATACAGGAGAAATAGCTGGCTTGTTTAAAAGAACCAGTCTTAAAAATACACAGTTTATGTTATCAGGTAAAAATAATAAAGGACACTCCTCATAAATGGAATCAGATAGCAATAAGAGGAAGCATATCTCACGGCTATGATATTAGGACTGATTAGACAAATGGGACGATAGCATCTAAAAGGTGGCATACATCTGTTGTCACAATGTGAAGCACCCCCAAGGAGTTAGAGGATCACACAAGAAAGGGTAGAGGAATTTGACACAACCTTGACTTTTTCTCTAGTTGAGAATTCAAATGCAGAGATACCATGAACCTATTTCCATGCTGGAATAACAACACTCTCCAAAATAAATAAATAAATCTAAATCTATTTAAACAGATACTATGATATTCAAGAAGAAAGAAAATATGATATTCAAGAAAAAATAACTTTGCCAGTAGTTAACCAAGAGAACATACACAATTTCTTCTGTTGCAAATGCTGTTTTGAAAGATAAAATAAAATTTAGCAATGCAGATGACAAGAAGCTAATTTCTGATCATCACATAGATAGGTACTCTTTTTTTCTATTCAAAAATTAAAGTATCACAATTTTTAAAGTTTATTTATTTTAAGAGAGGGAGAAAGAGGGATAGCATAAGTGGGAAGAGGGAGGGAACAAAGAGAGAGAATCCCAAGCAGGGGCACTGTCAGCACGGAGCCCCTGATGCTGGGCTCAAATTCATTAACTGTGAGATCATGGTCTGAGCCAAAACCAAGGGTCAGACGCTTAACCAAATGAGCCACCCAGGTGCTCCAAGAACGACTATGTATAAGTAGTAGTGGGCTTCAGTGGCAGTGATATGTTATTATACTAAACTATTCAACTATGTTGGAATGTTACAAAATTTTTGCGTCTATTTAACTGCCCTGTGTTCAAGATACTCAAATTGAGCACATTAAAGCCTTGTAAATGAAGGCAACTTAGTCTGATATTTTTCAGAAAAGGATAATCTTGAGTAAACTGATATAAATTGATTTTAGTATTAACCTACTGTTCAGATTCAGATATACCTGTCTACTTTCCTAAGGGAATTATGACCAAAAGTAAATTAATGATCCTTTCTTCAATCGGCACATTTAACCCAAGGGAGTATAGAGACTCCTTTAACAATAAACCACAACATAATAAACAATATGATAACTGAGAATGAGCTCATATTCTAAAACCTGTAATATATATTATTATCTGATGCTAGAAACAGTGAAGTAAACCTTACATAGAAGAAATAGGCCAAAAATTCCATTGCAGTATTTTCCTCTCCAAACTTGGCAAATAATGGTTTTTACTATGTAACCAATAAAAGCACTTGGTATGATCTCCATCACATCATTATTTTTTCAGTATGCCTTTAAATTTCTCTAAGTTACACATGCTATTTGGAGAAGGGAAACATAGTCACATTTAGTGGCATATAGCCAATGCTATTAAAAAATAAGTTTGCTTTTGCCTTTGTACTAGTTGATATCAGGATGGTAGTGGGGGCAGGGGGTTTAAGTTTACAATGTAGGAAGAAGTTCTTTGGAGGGTAACAAAGTTTAAGTTATGCAGTAACAAGTTTAAGTTATTTCAGTGACCACTTTGAATTAGGCCCTAGGCTGTTAATGACTTAATTCACTTAGAAATTTGAAAATTCAGAGGGCCTTGGGAGAAAAGAAAAGAAAAAAATTATCCAGTGCTGAAATATTTATAAATATTCATTGGATTTTTTTTCCTACAAGGCTCAAGAAATTTTATTTCTGTCTCACTGTTGTAGTTCATACAATGTTGAGCTAAAATACAGAAAAACTTCATTGGTATAAGCAACAGATGCAGGGAAAGTCAGGTATAATGATGATGATAATGATGATATATCTAGAATGTACACAGCATTTATTATGTGTTAGAAATTATTTTAAGACACATAGAGAGACATGTATAGATATATATTAATATTTATATATGACACATGTATATATGTAGAGAAATATATACACAGGTATAATATAAACATATGCACACACAGAGAATGAAACAGAAACAGAGAGAGAGAGAGAGAGAATGTCTTTACCACAATTCCATATATGGCATATATTATTATCTCATTTTCAAAAATAAGAAATCAGCACCAAGTATCTAATTAGCTTTTTTATGATCAAATAGCAAATAAATTCTGGAGGCAGGATTCAAAATCAGAAGCAGGAAGGCCTTGGAATCTACATGCTGAGTCTCTACATCAAAGTGGACTTCACTGTTCATTAAAGCCCCAAACTTTTATAAAGAAGAAAAACAAATCTGAGTTGTGTCCCCTAAATCTACCTTCAGGCAAATAACTGGTCATATTATTTTTATTGTTTCTCATTCCAAAATGGTTCAAACACTTGACAGACTTCAAAGTCTGCCGTACTTGAGTTTGAATACTGATCAACAACATATGACTTACTACATATATGATTTGGGGTTAATCACTTACCATTTCTGAGCCTCAGTTTCCTCATCTCTAAACAATGAGAAATAATAGTTTCCATTTACTATTGTATACAGAATTATCAAAGATCAATTTTTTGTGTGTGAAGTTCTTGGTATAAAGCCTAGAAAATGGAAACGGCAAAATAAATGGCATTATTATTAATATAATTGTTGCCATCACCATCATCATCATCACCTTCCTTTGGCATGGTGTTCAGTTTTTTAGACAATTAATATGAAATAAGCATTTCCTAAGTACATATTGAATTATGAATGTGTTCATGTTATCCCACACCACCTTACAGAATATCAACTCAATTATATAAACACTCATACTGTTTTAGAAAGAATTAGCCCTATACATTAAATTGAGAAAGTGTGCTTTGGATATGCTTGGGATTTCTTGGGATATTTCACTTGCATTAATATATCCATTTCCAATGTATACCCACCACCCAGCATTCCTTCACTGGGCCAGAGTTGTATTTATTACTGTATCCATTTGACTTCAGTTTAATCCCTGATAAACTTTTGTAGTTCAGCCCATATCTTCTTCTGAGTCTCCAGATCCATCTTTTTCTATAATAGAAGACCTAATAACTTCTATAATTAATTACACTTAAATGTGTTTAAGGAAAGCTGACGTCTAGCACAAGAAACATCTTGTCTTAAAGCCATCTTTAAAGAGTAAAGGCCAATTTGCAGAGATTCCAAATTCTTTATTTAGATAGTCTCTATGATCTTGAACACCTCTAAAAAATTATAATTCTATATGTAAAAAAAATCTACCATGTTAGTGATCCTATTCTAAGCAGATTTAATATTGAGATTATATTCTAAATGTAGTAATAAATTTTCTTTAATAAAAGAAAAAGAGTTTCTCCATGGATTCTTCACAATTTCTTCTCTTTTCATTTTTTAAAATTATCAACAGGAAGGATATTGACCTATATAGGTGAATCTAAGAACCCTAAAATCTTATTTGGTTCAATAAACACTTATATAGTAGCCATTAATAAAATTAGTCACTAGTTATTATCCATTTCACATTCAATAAACCTTTTAACTTTAGAAATGATCCCATGAGGTATCTTATGAGAAATAAGATGTTACCCTCCATTTAAAAAAAAAAGAAAGACGGAAACTAAGACCAAACAGATGAATAGTACAAAAGGAACAGAGCTTTCACCACAAGTAAACCTTGCAGTCCACTGCAGTGGGACATAACCATGAACACAGATAGCTTTACACAAGGCATGATATAAGCTAAGCTGTATAAGCAGAAGACTTTGCACACATCATGATACTGATTGGAGAAAGCTAGAAAGAACTGCCTTTTGATACAACTCAAAAGAATGAGTGAAACATCTGAAATGGTGGGAAAGGACTGATGAGGCAGAAGGAACCATTTAAGCAAAGGCACAAAGATGTGCAAGTGTAAGGCAAAATTGGAAATGAGTGGGTCATCATGTGCAGTTGTCATGTGGAATGTTTGAGATCTGCTCTCAAATGTCAGCACACATCAGAATCACACAGCAGTGAACACAAAAATGTCCATTTCTAACAAGTGGCAAGGTTATTCTAATGCTTCTGACTCAGGGAATGTACTTTGAGAACTACTAGTTTAGGGACATATGAGTTACTAGGTTTACTTCTGAATTAAAGTTCATTGTAGAATATGAAATAATATCATTTATATATTATATATTTTATATACCATATATGCAAGATTTCCAATTTTTTACTTCTGAATTGAAATTCATTGCAGAATATAAAATAATATATTATATATTGTATTATGTATTCTATATTCTATATATTCTATATTTTATATATTACATATGCAAGATGTCCAATTTTGGCCTACAATGTTGAAATCCTATGAGTGAAAGTGTAATCGAATATAACCCTGAAAGGCCTATTGAGAAAGAACTTATCACAATAGAGTTAGCAGTTCATATAACTATATTGGACTGCCTGCTTAGAGCCCTAAGGATGAAAGCTCTGTTAATATTGGCATAAGACCAAGCTGTTTCTAAGAACAAAAATTAAAGCGGCAAGCAGTGCCTTAGGTGTAATAACATATCAGTTGTTTCTCTAGTCTCTAGACACAAAATGGAGTCTAGAGAAACAAAGCAATGCTATGTGACCTATGCTAAAGGGATGCCATTTGAGACCAAAGAAAGGTCTTTGAAATGTCTCATCTATGTGAAGATCTATTGTAAGTGGTCTATGAATTTGTACACAGCCCACAAGTGTGCAGTTGAAGCAGATATGGGGAGTTAATGTCCACCTCTAATTCTTGTACCCTGATATTCAACATTGAAGCCAGGGTGCAGATTTACTGCAACAAAATATTCATTTGTTCAGATGCGGCATCCTTTTCTAATCTATCATCCCATTTTAAGAGTCTGTCTTTTTATTCAAACCTGGTAAGCCAAAGATTTTGGGCCAATTTTTCAGTTCCTGAAATATGAAAGAAAGCAACCACAATCATAAGGTGGCTATGTGACTCTAAGTTACATGACTCTACATTATATTACATTACTATAAATTGCATGACTATAAGTGATCTAATTCTCCCAGGCTACAGTTTCCCAAAACCTCAACTGACATAGCTGGAATAAGTAATCTCAAATGTTCTTTCATCTCTGATATCTCATAATCCTATGTTTTAGGATAAAGGAAGACATAGTATGGCATAGAAAAAAAAATCATGAGAATTGATGCTGAGCAGATGTGTGTGGAAATCCACATTCAGAAGGTTTTAGATGCACTATTTAATCTCTCTGAGCTTCAGTTTAATCACCTGCAAAATGAGGATAATGATTCTTACTTCAGTAAGTAAAACTGAAGAACAACGAGTTCCAACATAAATATTCTGCTAAAGTCTTTGAAGCAAAAAATTGCTTCCATTATTTGGTAAAATAATGGACCACACAGTATGAAAATTCACACATACCTCCATGTTAAATCTACCCTTTCCAACCCTGCAAGGTTTAAATCTATAGATAACTTTTTTAAAAAAGATAATAAAGAAGGGAAAGGTGATAAAAACAGATGGAAGAAAGGAGGAAAGGATATAGGGAAAGATCTTTTAATTCTAGAAAAGAACTCTTTCTCTTTAATCCAAAATGAAAAACTCAATTCATAGCAGTACAAGGATATATAGACCATATGAAAGTTACTATAAAAATTAAATTGTTGATAGATTATATAAAGTATGATCATGAAAGGAACAAACAAGCAGCATAAGAATTATTTAATAGGTATTATATAGAGAAAAGATTCAGCATTAACATGTCATAGTCTCGAAAGGATTCTTCCTTAAAGAGTAATTAGTGATCTACTATTTTCAAGGAATAATGGAAACATTGTGGGCACAGAGGGTCAAACCAAATCCTTTTTGAATCTTGATTCCAAAACTTGTACTCCAGTAATTTGACTTGGGACCAGTTGTTGACACTTTCTCAGCCTTAATTCCCTCATTTATCAAATGTATATAATACTACCTACTTCTCTAGTAAGTCTGTTGCTTACTATCATGACAAAATCAATCTCAACTCTCCCAGCCCAGTTTCTGAGCTATCTCTAAGTCTTGTATCTTCTGAGGATTAAATATGACAATGTTTGTAAAGTACTTGCACATAGTACTTTAATAATATTATTAATTAAATTAATTATTAATAAAATTAGTAATATTAATTATAATGAATATTACTTTTATTAATATTGAAGTTTAGTATAAAAGTATTCAGATTGCATTCAGTTAAAGATATTTACAAATGGGTACCATAATTTCAATTATTTTAATACCCTACAATTTTTAGCTTTATGAAATTAATCTAAAATTTATGTTTCCGAGATGCCTTGGTGGCTCAATCGGTTAAGAGTCCAACTTTGGCTCAGGTCATGATCTTGTGGTTAGTGAGTTGGAGCCCTGTATCGGGCTCTGTGCTGACAGCTCAGAGCCTGGAGCTTTCTTAAGATTCTGTATCTTCCTCTCTCTCTGCCCCTCCCCCACTCCTCTCTCTCTCTCTCTCTCTCTCTCTCTCTCTCTCTCTTTCTCTCTCTCTCTCAAAAATAAATTAAACATTTACAAAAAATTTTTTAATAAAATATTTATGTTTCCTTCAAAAACTGGCAAAAGTTAAATGAATATGAAGCATTTTCTACAAATTTTGTTACTTTTCATGGGACAAAGGAGAAACATAGCTGTTTCAAGATTCACTTTTTCCATACAAGTCAAACCCTATTACTATCATTTCTCAACATTAGCCAATTTATCCAAACAAGCAAACATAACAGCATAAGCAGGACCTACCTAAAACACAAATAAAAACGTCAGCCATCTTTGTATGAGCGCTGAACATTGTTTTTCATAAATCCCAACATGATAATTTCCCAATGAGTATCCTTTCATTGTCTCAATACCTGAAATTCTAAATTTCAGTGTTTCTTAGAGTTTAAAGCTATGATCTTTCCTATTATGTTCAAATACTCGTGAAAAACATACTTTTAAAATATAATCATTGGTTCACTATACTTACTCTCATATTCAATCATGATTTTGGCCAAATGCCTCCTCTGACATAGCCAGCCTTATAATCCAGTTAATTTTTCCACTCCTTTTTAGCTGTTTACTTATAATCTAAATGTAGCCCATTTGAAATGGTTAAATGATCAGTACTACTACTCAAGCTACAAACTAAACATTCATTTTATTATTATAAGTAAATGTGTAGGCACATTGTACAGATTTTGAAAAGTACAAAAGTTAAAGAAGAAAATCTGCAACAGCTTCCACTCAGAAACATCCTATATAAATAGTAACAAAAAACTCATACCCTACTATTTTCATATGTCATAAGTATTCTCCCTGGAGATTAAATATTATTGTAATTGTTCCAATGAGTGTGTAATATGCATTCATATATTTGTACTATAAATCACTTCAACAATTCTTACTGTTGATGCCAAATTTTTAGTATCATAAATGACATTACAATAAATAAAATTATAAATAAACATATGAGAATTATATATTTTAAAATAGCT